ATCGGGTGGTGGGAGGTAGACCCTCAAACCGCGCCCGAGCAATGGAGGCGGAGGTTTTCCGCCGAAGCGCTTGAAGACCAGCAAGCGCGGGCGGATGCCGCGAGGCTTCTCAGCGATGAAGAACTCGCTGAAGCCCTCCAGGCGGCCGAGGAGGCACAGGCGGCCGAGCGCGCCAAGAAGCGAGAGCGGCGCCAGGCGGAGAAGGCGGAGCGCGATGGTCACATCAGCGAAGCGCTCCGCATTGCTGGGTGGCAGTGCCCTAACTGCTATGAATGGAACCTTTCATTCAGGCAGCTGTGCTTTCGCTGCAGCACCCCTCTCCGTCTGGCAGAGGTCGTCTCTCGCGGGATCCCGGATCCGCGGCAGAGAGGGACTCAGGCTCCGAAAGCAGTCAGGATGAGCTGGAGCACGAGATCCTTCTGGCCAATCGTGCGATGGACCAAGAAACCATCCAACCTCTTCTTAGAAACAAACACAAGAAGAGGGGCGGTAAGCGGCGTCGCGAAGAGGCGACGCACGGCAAGGGCCGCGACCCTTGGAGTGCTTGGGCCGATGCCCGTGGCAAGGGCCAGGGCAAGCCGAAGGGCAGAGGCAAGTCCGATGCCAAGGGCAAGCCCAAGGGGAGGGGCAGGTACGCCTGGGGCGCTTACGCCGCGGGCATAGTTGCCGCGCTCCAACCCCGCCCAAGCACAAGCTGGGTCCCAGCCTTCCCGTGCGGGTCGGTCCGGCCGCCGCCAAGTGTTCCGCTTCCGCCGCGGACCCCCTTTTTCCTGGGTCGCGGGCTCCTCAATCGCTTGATGCACGCCCTTAACGGGAACATCAACGGCTGGTGGGGCCTGGCGGCTGCAGCGTCGGCGCCGATTGCCTTACAGTTGCACCGCGGCGCTGTGCATGTTGTCGAGGACTCCATGCACGCGGTTGCGACAATTTCGGCCGACGTTGTCGAGGAAATCGGTCATGGGGCCAGGCGGACCGTGTGGGTCGCCGGAACAGCCATCACTCTGGTAGTAGTGATCTTGTGCAGCGCTGTTCTGTGGTACGTGAGTCGTGCCGTTGCCAATCGCATTGCGCATCTGCGACATGGCAACACCGCGGCCCCTGAGGCGCGGCTGTCTCAACTCATTGGCTCTGAAGCGACGTTTGAGGTCGCGAGCACTAAGAAAGGGGTGACCCATAAAGTTTGGGTGCACCTCAAGGAGGAGACAGCTGCCTGTGGCTGTCGTGCTTACCTAGCAGAGGGACGTTGCGGGCACTGCGATGCCGCAATGGACACCGCACGATCCCTAGGGTTTTTGCACGCGGCCCAGCGAGGCGCGGGTTCTGCGCTCACAGACTCCATTCGGAGTACCGCCTCCGAAGCCCTAACTAAGGGTAAGGTTGTGTTGGGTTTGGGGAACAGTGAAGGATGCTTCTCCCAACTTGCGGCCAAGAGCCGCGGGCTCTCCTGCTTTCAGGGGCTCGCGGGTCGTGACCTGGCCGCGGCCCCAGCAGATGGAGCGAGCGCAGCCCACGCACAGTCCGGCTTCGTGCAACGTGCCGCCACTGCCACTGTGGCGCGCACACCCAGCCGGAGGAACAAGGGCCCAGTCCCCGCTAGGAGTTCTCCAGTCAAAGAAGCGGAATTCCTTGCGGGCGGGCCATACGTTCAGGCCGCCCAAACGCTGCTTGGGTCTGGAGCAGCAGAGGATGTGATCTACATCCGGGCGTACAGCTTAGATTGCCCATCCTGCATCGAGGCAATCGAAGCGTCGCTTAGCAAGGGCGCAGGCGTTCGGATTGTCGCCGACATGGGACAATGCCACCGCACCAAACTGCAGTGGCAAGCGTTGAAACGCTTGGCGGCTGCAGGCGCCGAGGTGAAGGTGGGTTGCGGCACATCCGTGCGCGATGCCTATGCTCGCGACGGCCGCGGGGCTAAAGTAGGTACCGGTATCCAAGGGCTTCACCATGCCAAGGCCCTTTGCCTACTGCGGCCTGATGGCGCGGTGGTGCTGATTGGGAGCCTCAATTTTACCACAAGCAGCAAAGCCAATGCGGAGGCAGGGCTTAGGCTTGAGGTCCCCAAGACGCACCCGGTCGCGCAGTCCTACATCGAGGATTTCCAGAGGGTGTCGGCTGAGGCATTCTCCCTCGATGAGGCGGTCGCAAGGCGCCCTCAGCTGGAGCGAGCCAGTAGCTCCAACGTTGCTGGCAACGCCACTCGTGCCCCCAACACTGCTCCACAGGGTATCGAGTAGGCTGCGGCCAGTTGGCGCGGCGTGGTATGCATCCACGCATTATCAGAGCAGGCGTTGCAGCACGGCACGTTGCTTCGCCAACCTTTTGCATTTTCTTTTGCTTGACTGCGGGCGAAAAGCCGCGGCAGGTTGGAGACCTGCCCATTTTGCATTCCCCGCACCTTTCTCCTCAGCCCTGCCTGTGGCCCCTCGTGCTGAGGGTGCTCTTTTGCAGGTGCTGCGGACCGTGTCCTGGTCGCGGCAATGCGCTCGCCGAAGCGCGTGTGAGCTGCATTGCCTGCGGCACAAGCCATGTGCGCGGCTCTCGCTGAGTCTGGTAGCCCGTAGGGTAGTTTCGGATAGGTGAGTAGCCGTAGCCGTAGCTTAGGACCGGTAGTGTACAGTGTACAGTGTACCATAGTTTCAGCACTGGTAGCAGCACTTAGACCTGCCAGAAACCCAGGAGCCTCGCCTTCCAGCAAAAGGTTGAGGCCTGAAGTGCCAAGGGAGCTGTTAAGGGTTGCAGAGGGTTGCTGTCGTCGTGCGTTCGTTTGGGTGGTGCGGGCTAGCGTCCCTGCCGCATGCCAATGCTCTTGATGTGCGGACCACCTTGGTCGCACGCGACACCCTTGGGCACACTGCAGAAGTGCTTGATGCACTGAAGGCTCGTGATGAGCTGGGAGCCTCGGCTGAGGGGCGAATGTGAGCAGGTCAAAGCATGAATGCAGTGCTTGCTGTCAGTCAGTGCTGTAGCTGTTGTTCCTTTGCATGTGTAGTTTTGCAATTAGTATCAATGCCAATATTTTGGCTCAAGTACCGAGCTTGTGCCTTTGAGCACGGTAGAGTCGTACAGTAGCTCTTAGGTTGCTGTGCGGTCCGACCGGACGCACTCAGGCGTAGCTGCACAAGTGCTTGGACTCGCGAAGTCGTAAAACAGCGTGACCGGGCTGTGATTGCATTGGCTTAGTGCAAGTCCAGTGCTGGTCGACTTCACAAATAATAACTAATAAATTTATTAATAATAAATAATATTATATATTTTATATATTGTACATTATGTATACAGTATATGTTATATATTATATACTTTATATTTTGCATTATATGCAGTATATAATATGCAATACACAATACATGATATGCAATATATGACATATAATATACAATATGCGATATATATAAATAAATATATATATATATATGTATGTATATGTATTTATTTATGTTTATTTATTTATTCATATTTATGTTTACTTATTTATGTACATACACATATCATATAATGTTCGACAATATGAAAATATAAATATAATGATATATATATATATATATAATGTAATAATAATACAATATAAATGATATATATTATATGATATATATATATATATCATATAAGTGTATATCAATATATATATCCTTAATACACATGATATAATGTTTTATATATATATATATATCGTATAACAGATAATATATAATATATAATAAATTATATAATATATAATATATAATATAGAATTACTGATACATAATTAATACATAATACATAATACATAATACAAAATACAGAATACGTAATACATAATACATAATACATAATATATAATATATAATATATAATATATAATATATAATATATAATGTATAGTATATAATAGGTAATGTGTAATGTAATGTGTATTATGTAATATGTATATATATATGCACATACATACATACATACATACATACATACATACATACATACATACATACATACATACATACATACATACATACATACATACATACATACATACATACATATACACACACGTTGACCTTCACTATCGTGTGTATATAATATATATATATTTATTTATTGATTTTTACTTATTTGTCTAATTTAATTTTTTATTTATACGCATAGGACCCGCAGGACCAGGCGGACAGACAAGCAGACCAGAGGACCAGAGGACCAGGGGACCACAAGACCAGGGGACCACGGGACCAGAGGACCACGGGACCAGAGGACCACGGGACCAGAGGACCACGTGACCAGAGGACCACGGGACCAGAGGACCACGGGACCAGAGGACCACGGGACCAGAGGACCACGGGACCAGAGGACCACGCAGGTGGGCCGGATGGCTTATTTTTTTTATGCCTATTATTTTTTTTATTGATCCCTATTATTTTTCTTTTTGATGCCTATTTTTTTTTTTGATGCCTATGCCGTATATGGTCGTCCCCATACAATGTAAGGTGCAAGGTAGGTCCCAGGCAAGCCCTTGCTTGGACCTTATAGACCCTAAACCCTAAACCCAACCAAACCTAAACCCTGAACCCTAATCCCCAAACCCTAGCCCTAAACCCTAAACCCCAGACCTTAAACCCCAAACCCTAAAACCCTAAATCCTAAACCCTAGCCCTAAACCCTAAACCCTGTAGCCCTCAAGCCCCGGCCAATAGCCTAAAGCCCCTCGGAGCCACAAAAAACCGCGCCAGCCGCACATCTGCGCCGACGCGCGGAGGCAGAGCATCGGCCAAGAGGCCGCCTCGCGCAGCACGCGCGGCACTCAAGGACTAAAGGGTTTAGGGTTTAGGGTTTAGGGTCTAGGGTTTAGGGTTTAGGGTTTAGGGTTTAGGGTTTAGGGACTAGGGACTAGATGTGGGACCCTTAGATAAGACTTAGGGGTTCTTTTTTTCGGGGGGGGGGGGGGGTATTTAGGGTCCATAGGGACTATAGAAGGCACGCGCGGCACATGGCTAAGGCGTTTTGTTGGAGTTTATTACCATTTCTTCTCACAGGGGTGTAGTTGTTGCCTTATGTTGTTAGAGGTTTAGGGATTGTAAAATATGGTGTTTCTGACATGGTGCCCAGGGTTTATAATAGGGTTTGGAGTTTAGGTTCGGCTTAGGGTGAAGTTTTTAGAACTAAGAGCAAGCGCTGGTTGAGCACAGCTCACGGGTTCTAGATGTTTGCAGGGTACCAAAATGGCAAGGGTTGTGCATATCCCTAAACCCTAAACCCTAAACCCCAAACCCGAAACCCTAAACCCTAAACCCTAAACCTCACACAGCCCGCCAACATGCATGTCCCTTCCGTATGGGAACCCGAAGGTGCACCCACCAAGAGTATATCTAATACCCTAGACCGTAAAACCTAAACCCTAAACCCCAAATCCCAAACCCCAAACCCTAAACCCTAAAAAATGAACTTATTTAGGTACTCAAAAGCCATTGCAAAATCTGCAAGGACATGGCTGGGGCTCTGGTGTTCTGTTGGGGGGTTAAGGGTTAGGGTGTAGGGTTTATGGCTGGGGTTTAGGGTTTAGGGTTTAGGGTTTAGGTTTAGGGTTTAGAGTTAGGGTTTAGGGTTTAGGGTTTAGGGTTTAGGGTTTAGGGTTTAGGGTTTAGGGTTTAGGGTTTAGGGTTTAGGGTTTAGGGTTTCGGGTTTCGGGTTTAGGGTTTAGGGTTTAGGGCTTCGGGTTTAGGCTTTAGGGCGTACGCCTTGGGGTCCAGGGTTGGGTAGAATGGTCTCCGCTCAAATCTCGTGAGCCCCCCCGTAGCCTGAAGGGTTACCAGAGCCGCCGCCAAAGCTGCAAGGAGGACGAACCTGGAAGGCAGCAAAAAAAAATGGGTTTAGGGTTTAAGGTTTAGGGTTTAGGGTTTAGGGCAGGCTGCCGGAACAAATTCTGATTTGGTTCACATTATCTCGGAGAAACATCGGGGCCTCTTCAGTTTTGAGCTTGGAGATGGATGAAAGAGCATGGCGCGAGGCATAGCAGCACAATAACAGATCATTTTTGTCGAGCTAAGGATTGCGACCAGGCAGGTGTGCGTGCCAGAGCCTGAGGGCAC